CTAAATAATCATAATGCAGGTGTGGGCGCCGTTGGGTCGGCGGTAATTGCTGAAAGGCCCCGAGTTCCCGAGACTGTGGACTCTGGCTCAACCGGCACACCCCGAGGGCCAAAAGAGCATACGACAAGCAATGGAGCAAACGACGGATCCAGAGATGAAAAAGCAGTATGTCCAGCTCCATTAGCCCAGAATGACTCCTTTGAAATTACAGATGTGTCAGATTTCGAGACGGAAGAGAGCCTTGAGCTCTCCCATTTTCCACGCTGTGTGGCGCTGCCACCCACCACTCTCTTGTCTCCTCGGAACGCACCTCGCCATCTGTCACTGTCTGCGGAGCCTGATAATTGTTCCATTCCTGTCGCGACTAATGGGGAGAACCAAGACGACTATACTTTTTCCGACCCTCACGAAGTGCTCACAATGAATTCGAGCTTCGCCTCTAGCCAGGATGGCCAAGACACTGTGGTATTCGTGATCGAAGGCGGCGAGTTGCAAGGCGATGCTCATATGACAGAGGGAGAGGATAATGGATTTGGTTGCGCAACACCAGAAAGAGATGGTCCTCAAGCCTCGCTTGAAGGGCATAACGTTGGCACTGAAAGTGAGGCGACAGTTGGCGGTGAAATGAGTGACACAGATGAGTTGGCATCATCCACAATGGATGAGCAGGATAAGAGCGAGTCAATTTTAGTGGATGGATCGTCTACGCAAGAGGCCTTTGACGCTGACCCGTTTAACTCCACCATGGCTCAAAAAGCAGTCGATTATGATTTAGCCTATCCGATATTTTCAAAAAGTGAGAGCATCTCTTTGTCAGACGATGGTTTCAGGGAGCAGCTAGAAATACCGGCGAGTGAAGAGGAAGGCGAGCTCAGAGTAACTCCGGAAAACCTTAGTCTGGCTAATGAAGAGGAGATTAAGAATCTGATGCAAAAGCTAGATGAACTGGAAATGGATGGAGATAACGAGCATCTTAACTCCGGGACCAGTAATGAAGCTAGAGAGCTAGAAGACCTTGCAGATCTAGGGGAAACAACAAACGAATATACTGCAGAATTTTCCGATACAAAACAAGACTACTGCGGTTATGGACAAAATATATGGTTGGAGGACGAAAGAGAAAAGCAAATGAAGGATGAACAAGAGTATATGGTTAATGAGCCAAGGGAGCAAGAATTCGATGTGTCGTATGATGCCGATCAAGACCCCTTCAACGCTGCCGAAATGGCTGTTAACGACCAGGAGCTTAAAAAGCCACGTCCTTGTCGGCCTCCTCCGCCCATCAAGACACTCGAACGGCCTCAGCCTGTGCGACCACCACCTCTTGGTGTGAAAAGTGACCAGAAGTCAACTACGGGATTGTGTCACAAGAAGCAGAAGGACCACAAGCTCTTCGGGGTCGACATAGGTAATTTTCGAAGGCTACTCACATTAGCCTATTTAAAGTCCTGATTAATTTCAGCCAAACTCTTACCCTGTTATCCCTAGGGTAATTATTATCTGTTTCCTTTAGGATCACAAACTTATTAAAAAAAAGCTTTTGCCCCAAAAAAACAACAAAAAAACTAAAAAAAACAAACACCCTTCCACAGTATCGACATTAAAAACACCGACAATACCAGATTGAGAACACAACGCCGGTCTTATTTCACTAACCGTGAGGCTTCATGCTAAAAAACAACCCAAAAACCCTAGGGTAAAACTATAAAACCTAGTCGCCTAAAAACCACACCCGACTAACTATTACCAACCCCAATGCCATTTCTAGTGTCATAATCACCAACAAAGACACAAAAGCAGCTTTTGCTGCTTTTGGTTTGTATCTGCGTAGGTAAAGTTTTGCCTAGTTTTATACCTACTGATAAATGTTTCAATTCTCTTGTCTAACAGCAATGATTTATACAGCCTTTCTGGACAAAATGGAACCCAGTGCACCTCTACCGGTAGGTCTAATGTCTAAATACAGGACGGATGGATCCCCTCTGGTCCAAAATAATAATTTGCTGAAACGACACGTAGCCTAGCCTCTGTTTCTTTGCGTTGTTTGGCGTAGGAAAACAGCTGAGGAAAGTTTCGAGGCCCGGATTTTAATTTCATTAATTTTCCTTGCGACGTGTTTAAAAACAGGAGCGCTTGGAGACCTTCATTTTGTAGGAAATTGCATAAGGAAGGGATTCATTGGTTAGTCTCACTAGAAGACGACAGCAAATTCCATTGTTATGCAGCCGTTTAATTAATACGACGTTCAGACTTACACTGTCCACGAGACATTGCCCTCTTTTCGCATAAAACTAGGCTGAGATTTCATCCGTCATATGAAGGACATCCTCAGAGCTGGAATACATTCTCGTAAAAGTATCAAGTTAACATTGAGTCAGGAAGGCTGCCCGCCTCTATCCTGCGTGTTATGTAAATTCAGTTATATATATACTCAGGCATTGATAGGTAGATATATAATTATTTACTTAGTTTGTTTTCCTATTAGTCATGCTACTCTTACTTGAGTGTGTCCGATCGTAAATCAGAGTAATTACAAAAGTTTAACATCAGGCTTGGATCATCAAGGCTTAATGACCCATGGAAAAGCCTGACAGAGACTGGGTAATTCCGTAAGCAGTCCGTAATGCAAATGCAAGCTTGTATGCATGTTAATCAGGCTAAGAAACCACCTGTTACAACCCATCAGCATGGGATTATTAAGGTTCAACGATCCAAGGTGAGGCATTCCGGAAATGAGTAACCTCTTACATCTGGTTTGGGTGATGGACCTAAAATACTTGTTGAACGAATGAGTGGCTAAAATTATCACTGGGTTGACAAGTTAAGTCACCTTCTTTGGGTTGGAGATTTATTACCCTCTCTTTATTCCAATCTCTTAATCATAAGTTGTTCAAAAGCTTACGCAATCTTGATCATGCTTTTCTATTCATCATTAAGCTTTGATGGTAATAGGCTGACGCTAGACTCCTTGCTAATTATCCCGAGTTATAGCCGGCATTGCGTGCAGGCATAGAAACAAACACAGGGAGACCGACACATTCGAGTATATGAGACCTAACCGAACAATTATATATCCATCTATAGCGAAATATTTTTCATTATGATCATATATATCATAGAGGATAGAGAAGGCTAGTCTTATTGTCTTAGGGCTAACTTGAGAACTTCGTAAGAATGGGTTCCTTCATTCTTATTTTCATCAAACAAGCAACATTTAACTTTCAAATGTACAGCCATTTTAAACCTAAATTAAATCAATGCAAAGATCTTAATCAAATGCATCCATTAAATGTTGAGTGAGACCTTCTCCAGCCAAAAAAGTTGCGATTTAAGTGTATATCTATACTTCAAAGATTACGTTTGGGGGTGCCCAAATTCTGATTGCTCTTAAATGAACCACATGCCCCAAGTGGTGTGGTTATACGGTTAAGAGGCTAGTCTGTTGACTCAGATGTTGAATCCGAGGTCCTTTGGGGATGTAAAGTAATTTAGACGATATAGACTTTCGACAACGGATATCACTTTCTGGGTGAACTTTAATAATTAAATATAGAGTAAAGTTGACTGGGTCAACTGTGCTTGAATATTCTAATGAACACAAAAGGGGGATCGTTGGCTGTCGTCCCGGTAGTCGAAAATTACTATGATTGGATCGGCCATAAATAATCGTGCTAAAGTGTGTCAGCAGAGTCACAGGAAAGGAAAGCTTGTTTTGAGAGAGCAAAGCTGGTTTGGCAAACGATACTAGAGAATTTGAAAAGAAATTTTTTTAGGGCAGGCCAGTAACGACGTTGCTGGCTCGTATGAAGTTTCTGCAGCGCCTCCAGTATTTACGAAGCAGCAGTTACTCCTAACTGAACAAGATAAGTTGGAAGTTAGCAACTCAATCAATTTATAAATCATGCCATATTTCTTCTTCCATCAGTCAATTTTAAAAAAGGCGGATGATCATGGATGAAGCAGTCTTAGAACCACTACTACTTTAAAATAGCTAAATACAAATAAATTTACTTAATCTTCATTTACGCTATGTATACCCTCGAGACTAAACTTTATTTTGGCGAATTGAAGGTGTGAAGGCTATGATTCATATGCATGTTTGCGGTCTGCATTCTTTACATAGTAGTTGTTTGATCTTGTTTACGCATCTTGGTCATATTGGCAGGAAGACTTAGAAGAAGGCACCTTGTCCGGAGTCCATTATATAAATAATCATTTCCTTAGTCGGACCGTGGGCGTAGTACATTCCCAGACGTTTCGCCGGCATCATAGTTGGCATTGTCAGTGAGACTTGCCATTCGCAGACTATAAGTCAAAGAGACAAGTGAAGTCAATCCCTTGACCAACTTTCTGTCCTGGTCCCTCTATCCATTTCCTACCCTCGTCCTATCGCAACTTCTAACATGTTTATATTCCATAAGAGGTGTGCTCAGAGCATAGGCTCTGATTCCCATGCTGGCGTATATGTGTTTAAGCAACGGTGGTAACTAATAGTCAGAAAGATAAGAAGCATATATACAGGCCCATGAGGCAGATACAGACGGGAGCTCCGAGTTATACAAGCCACTCGAAAGGGAGGGGAGCAAGACAAACAGCAAGTGTGATAACGCCACAGTAAATTCGCCAAAAGGGCACACCTCCTGTGGAATATAAATATGTCAGAAGTTGTGATATGACGAGGGCGAGACAAGAGGGTTGGAAATGGATAGGAGCCAGGACAGAAAGCGTAGTGATAGCACAACCGTTTCGGCAGAAAGTTGGTCAAGAGATTGACTTCACTTGTAGTTTGTTGCTGCGACTGGCAAGTCTCAATGACGATGCCGACTACGATGCCGGCGAGACGTCTTGGAATGTATCAATTCCACGACTCAAATCTGGATATTATCGTGCATACTATGGAATCCGGACAAGGTGCCTTCCTGCTAATATGACCAAGTGGCGGAAACAAGGTCAAATGACTACTATACGTCGATAAAAAACTGAGACCAAAATAGAAGCCACAACATCTTGGTATTCGTATTTTACTTCCATAATTTATTCGAAGGTACAAAGACCAGGATGAGGGGGCCTTCATTATGGCTGCGACCTCCTTTCTTTGTATAGAAGTTGTCTGACCTTTTTTTCGCAATTTGGTCATATTGGCGGGAAGACCTAGAGGAACGCACCTTGTCTATAGTATACATGATAATTTTCAGTCGGACCGTGATAGTTCTAAGACTGGCAAGGCTCATTGACGATGCTGACTACGATACTGGCGAAAATTCTGGGAATGTAACAAGTCCATTGTCCAGCTCTGGAAATTATCATGCACACTATGGACTCCAGACAAGGTGCCTTCCTATTGGTCAAACAACTAGTATTTGACTAATATAATAATTAAAATAATAAATTCTGTAAAATAATTGTTTTTTGGTCGAACTATATGAGATGAGTTTCAGGAATTCACTAGTTCGTATGCATTTATTTGCACCCACAGAGCCAAATATATACGAAATAACCATCTTATACACATACACACACACATATATATATACATATTTTTTCCTGCTTTCGGAACTTTGCCGTACTACAATTGATACAGACTTATATGAACTTCACATCTGCCCTGTGACCCAAGGGCACTCTTTGCAATGTAGCTGAGTTGTTAGCGTTTCAAGCTCACATGCTGCACTGTCACGGTGCGACTCCCGCTTGGGGTGTTGATAAGACCTATGCGAGGTCAAAAATGCAGTTCACTTCTGTCTAGATGAGAACAACTTTTGGGAAAGCAAGGCTATGTGAAATTCAATAGAAACGTCAGCTCTACTCATATCGTTGTCCTTCATCGCTTTAAACGAAATTGTGTGAATACATCTCATATTACTGATATACTTGTGGTCTCGAAGTTCTACTTAAATACGAAAAACAAAGTAAATTAATATCTAGATTGAGCAGTTCATATATATAAACAAAACAGCCAAGGCAGCGAATAGGGGAAACGAATATATATATATATATATATATATATATATATTACAGACAAGCTAGTCCATGGTCTTCGAGTAAAGAATGCAACTAGGCTGAGCTCATGTAGCTCTTTAACTTAGGATGAATGGGGGAGAAGGCCGAAAGCAGACACTATAGCTATTATATTAGTAATTCAAATGGTGTAACTTGTTTGTGGGGCTGAATTTGAATGAAAGCAGGCTTGTAAATTCATGTTTAAATAGTTAATCCATATTTGCCATAGAGAAGTTGGCACAAAACCCTTCCGGAGACCAAGTGTGACGGCAGATGAACTCTATATAAATTACTGGTCGACTTTGCTTAAGTCTTTTCATTTAGATCAGAAAGCTGCCCTACTTGATTGAATTGCTTGAAGTTCTGTGCTCTATGATGATCACAGAAAAAAGAATATGAAAACTTACACTTGTGGCTTCATAATATACCTTAGCTTAAACTAAACCATGCGAAAATTTAACTAATGACGTATCCTTAGGGCCAGCTTTTAGCAATCATCTTTGCTATTTGAATATTAAGTTAGAGGAGCT